TGTCAGGCCAGGTCAGAATCAAAACGGGCAGAGTGGAGAGCTTATGCTAGGACTTACCTGGGAAGTGGGCTGAGGAGGAGAGGAAGTTGCCCCTTCTTTGCTGACCTGTGACAAGGTTGGGTGTAGAGGGGCACTTGTCTTCCTTGGGGCGTTCTGCCCCTTCCATAACAGGGTCCATTTTCAGTGTTAAGTTGGTTGGAGTCAGTCAATTCTTTCACCAGAAACAGAATCACATCCCCTCTGTGAAAGGTCTGTGTTTGATTTGGCACTAGTGTTGGTGGGCCTCGTGCTAGTTCAGCAGAGGAGGGATCCATTGTGTTGTGATGTTCGAGACCTACAGAGAGAAGAGGTTTCACGTGGATCTTGAGAGATGTCTGAGAACTGGCCCATAGCAGAATGAAATGTAGCAAATAATAAAGGGACTGAAAAGATCTTGATATCTCATGAACATAGTTATGGAAAGGAGAATACTGGTTACTCCAAAGGTCTGATCAGATACAGATAGTTATGAATTATCTAATAGTCGTGATCTGTCATTTCAATATACTGTTTATTATTTTGTTGGGCCCAAGGACAATGAAAATGTTAACGTATATTCTGAAATAATTTCATTATGTAGACGTGTAGACAAAGAAAGGAGGTATTCTGTTTTAAATTTTGGGCTGAGTTTGTGTACTTCTTCGGCAGTTGTATAGTCAGTGTTATTCTTTAATGTCAGTTTTATTCTAATGTAGCCTTTCTCTATGTTCATCCAGCGTAAAACTGAACTACCACTCGTATTTCAATGTCTGTATTTTAAATTGAATCATAATCATTGAAACAAACACTCGAATTTTGTGTCTTATGCCAGGAACACTGTAAAATTCCTAAATTTTTAATGAAGAACATCTTTGTTAGACTGTTTCCACAAACACACAAAAAAACCCCAAACCACAAAAAAACCCAACGGTGTCTTAAAGCTTAAACAGTGTCTTACGTGCTCCCTAAGCATCTCTTTCTTTGAAGTGTTTGATAAATCGGGTTTTATAGGCACTGCAGGCAAGAGTTACTGCAGTTTGCAGCTCATTGTTTTTGCAAATGCCTTGAGTTAACTGCTGTGATTTTTAGGCATTTCAATGTCATTTAGAATGATTAGTTACCTGCAGAAGGATGTTTCAGTTTGAAAAACTTGCTCCTGTTGGAGGACTTGTAGGTGTGCACTATTGAGATTATAGGTGAAAAATCAAGGATTTGGTCTTCGTGAACGGGGTGCTTAAAGATGGGGACAAGAGGCTGCTGAGGCAGAAGGAAGGTCTTTAAAGATGTTGGGCCACATATACATGTTTTGAGATCAACTTCAGATTTGTTATATAATGTTACAACTAACATTCATTAATTGAGAGGTTCATCAAAGTTGTTTATAAGCAAGTTTGCCCTAAGAATGGATTCCAAACAGCACTGAAATGCATCTGCGCTTACTGTGTCGCAGTATTGAAGCAAGGCTTGGCGAGGGAATTGCATGACTTCTGCTATGGCCCTATGAAGTAGACCCAAGGAATTCCAAACACCTCCCTGGAAATGACCATTCCCTCTTTCGTGTCTCTTCCAGCTCTCCTCCGTTCGCATGCAGGGATTGCTGCTTCTGGTCTTCGTGAAGCACGTCCACCTGCCTTTCGTACGGGACGTTCACACCCACTACACACGCACGGGCCTGTATGGATACTGGGTAAGAAGTAGCTGAGACTTGAGTGCCTCGGTTACTTCTGCTCATGGTGGTGGGTGCCTCTAAACGGTCGTGGTGGGAGAGAGGGTGTGTGGTTTACTTGCAAACGAATAAACTGGCAAGCGGTGAAACTCACTCGTTTGAACCTTGTATGTATGTATGCAGCACAGACCATAATTTTACCAGTTTCTTAGCTGATATACAACAACTTACATAGGAAGAAATTGTATTTATTTAAATCTAAATAGCAAGATTTAAAAATTGATAGGTGGTGTTGATAGTTGACTAAAGTTTCAGAGAACATTGTTAATCTTCTGTACCAGGGGAACAAAGGAGGAGTCACCGTTCGCCTGTCCCTCTACGGTCATACAGTTTGTTTCATGAACTGCCACTTGCCAGCTCACATGGAGAACACAGAGCAGCGACTGGATGACTTTGAGAAAATTCTGGAAATGCAGTTCGAAGGAGAGAATATTCCAAGTCCCTTGGATCATGAGTGAGTTGTTCAGACCCTCTTCTGTCTGTATTTGTTTTATCTGTTACATGGTAAACTCACGCACTGAAGAGTTTTGTTTTGGAGTTTTCATCCATCATTTCTATTTTAAATGTCTTTTCAGCCTTGACCCTGAATCCTGGGAGGAAAAGATAACCTGAAAGGTGGAGGTCTATTTCGCAAGACTGTTCTCTACCAGTCTTGAATTGCATGAAATCTGTTAGCACATATACTGCACATGTGAGGTGCTGGAGAGCTTTAGAAGCTAAAGCCTGTTTGTGTCAAAAATCCTTTCAATAACTATTAAATGTTTATCTTCCTCCCTTTTTTGAGATTTGTTTATATTTTTAAGATAAAAATTTTTTATTTAAAGTTTTTATTCCTATTGTAAATTCAGTGTCTGGCTGAGGGCTTCTCAGCCTTTAAAACCTTGATTGACGATTTCTTTAGCTATATGAATTACACTTCCCTCAGGTGCCTCAAACCAAACCAAACCTGATTTGGGCCACTGATTGAGCTCTTGTTCCTTAATTCTACAGGAACGATTTGTATGTTCTGTTGTTTTCATGTGCTGGAGTCTAAAGATGGCAATAGAACCACTTAAAAAACAGTTGAGAAAAACATTTTAGTTTGGTAATTTTTAAATTTTTTTTTTTATACCCATAAAACTGGGTATAAAAGCCAGGACAGATAAATCCAGAGTAGATATGTAATAGCACTTCAATTGTTAATGAGTTGATTAAAATTAGGTAAAATGTATGACACGTGAGTTTCAAAACTGTTACTTTTCCTACCTTAATGTGTTTGATATTTCAATTTAATGCATTTTATTTTCTTGATGGCGTGCACGAGCATGTACCAAATCATCTACTGTCATCTTCTAAGAAGAAATTACAAATGGCATTAAAATAAAAGTTTGTTTCATAAGATCAAGTTTGGGGTATCCAGCCCTGAAGAAAACATTGAAAGTAGGGATTTTCAAAGAGAAGTTAATTTACTTGAAAAGACAGCTTTCCTGTTGTTTAAAACATTGCTGATAATGCACTCTAGCTCTTAGTAACAGTCACTTCCTTTCCTAAAAACTATCAAATGCCCAGTATGTCTCCCTGCTTCCCCAGGGCACAGAGCTCTGAGCTAGTGGATTAGTGTATCCAGCTGGTGTACAGCTCATGAATTTTGTGAATCGTTTTACCTACTGTTAAAATTTAATTCTAAATCTGTCTGTAATAGAGATGCAAGTCATTAGGAGACTCAGGAGCAGTTAGTACCCAGGCAGTAATGAGCAAGCGGGAAGAATACAAGGGACAAGTTTTCTGTTTAGCAGGAGGTTATCCCTGTGTAAGCTTATCTGCAGCTACTTAACGTTTGTGTTTAAGCTGTTTAGATTAAGTAATATAAGTGATTAGAGCACCTGATTAGTGTAATGGCTTATATTCTATTGCATTCTTCCCTCCGGTTAATGGATTCTTATAAATCTCCTTGGATTTTTGTTTTTCTTTTTCTTTTTGGGTTTGTTTTTTTGTTTTTAGTGTCCTCTTCTGGTTTGGAGATCTAAACTTCCGGATAGCAGATTATGGCATACATTTTGTCCGAGAATCAATAAATAACAAGCGTTACAATCTGCTGTGGGAAAAGGACCAGGTATGTTGTCTTAACCGGGTTGGTTTGGTTGGGTTTTAATGCGTACAAACACAACGCGGTAGTTAACATTACCTCTTGAGTTTGTAATTTCTGTTAAAGAACACAGATTCAGAGCAGTGATGAGGTGGAACAGATCTAGCTGTTCCTGCTCTCACTTCTCAGTCATAAGCCCCAATTAATTGCCAACTTTTTCTCCCTTTGTTTAGTTTCTTACTGATTTGCAATGGTTGTGTTTGACTGAAGCTTTCTTTGAACTTCATGGCTTGTGAATTGTTCTTCCCCTTAATTTCTCCTCCTCTTTTCTTCTCCCAAGAACTGTTTTTAAGAGAAGCTTATTGTGGCATTTGTTTTGAGTGGAACGGCTACAAAACTTTTAAGCTGATCGTGTCAAGAGTTCTGGCAATAACAAAGAAGCACTTCTGAATTTACCTTTCCAAATACTGACTGAGATGTTGAATTCTTCTTGGAAAACGCTTTCTCGGCTCCTTTCCCAATTGTCCTTTAAGCTCTGATTTTTAAACATCGTCTTTAAAAGTTACTTTTTATTTCTGCAGTTAAATATGGCAAAAAAGAAGGAAGCATTTCTTCAGGAATTCCTAGAGGGTCCTCTGCAGTTTAAACCCACCTACAAGTTTGACCTTTATTCGGATGTATATGATACCAGGTAAAACCATAATAAGATGAGTTTAGACATGGAATATTGGAGTGAATGTGGTGCTTGACTAAATATTACTTTAGTGAGCAAACCTGAATTTCTGGAATGTACTGGTTAACTGGGGTGTCGAGCTATTCTGTTAGGCTTTCAGTGGTCAAATCTGAATAAATGAATATTTCTGGCTGAAGAAGCCTGAGTCTGCTGATGGCATGGGGGAAGTAGTGAAACAATGCAGCTTTCTTTTGGGGAAGACTAGATTGACAGAATAAGCCAGTGCTTGTTTAAGCTGCTTCTTATTTGATCTTTAATACTAAAAGTGCCCGTTGGTTGTCAGAAATGAGCAAGAGGAAAAGAGTAATTGCAATTTTTGTTTTCCTTCTCTGTTGAAGCATTTTGTTTGGTACTGCTGGTATTTGAAAATAAATGTAAATGTCTCTTTAGAAATTATTTTAAGTTGAAAATGGAGTAGCTTAAGTTTCCAGAGTTTTTCTCTGACACTAAAGTTTGTTGTTAAGTATTAATCTTAACAGAAGGATAAGTTCCTGTCTGAACAGGGTTCTGTACTGATCTTTTTCTTTACTTCCAGAGAGCAGAAGTCCCTGTTTTGGTTTAAGTAAGAAGAGAACTTTCTGGATTTCATAGATTTGTAAATATTTCAGAATCAAAACAACGCTCCTTCCTGAGCTTTTGATTTGATTTTTGTGAAATATTTGAAAATCAGATGACAGCTGATTTTCTTCAGGGATTTTCTGAACCTGTCTGAAAGCTGTAGTGTTATCTGCTCTGCTGTTGCGCTTCATGTTGGAAGTTTATTCAATTGAATCCAAAGACATTTTGCTCCCTGAGTGTGATGGGACCAGCAGTAAATCCTGTTGACAAAAAATACTTATAATAATCCCGACCTAGACATTCTAAGAATGATTCATTGCCCAACAGTCTGTATTGGCTCATCTAAAGAACAAGAAGTGCGCTTACACAGACTGTGTGCATTCTGCTGTTGTTGGAGCTAGCAGAGAGATTTTGGTCTGATGGGGGGGTGATCAGTAGACCTGAAGGCAAGCACCCTCGAAAAGCATGCTTTATAGGAAGCACGCAGTATTTTGTTATTTGGGTACTTTTTCAGTGTGGCTTTTGAGGTTTTGTTTCCCATCTAATGTGCCGTTTTCTCTAAAATAGCGAGTGTGTTAACTTAAGCTGTTCTTTTGGTATTTTCTTGCACAGCAGAGCAGACATATGGCACCTCATAAAGATTTCTGTCGGTTTATGTAATTACTGGAGTAAGTGGGATATGGCTTTTTACTCATTTAAAATCTTTCCACCTTATTAAAGGTGAGTCAGACTTGTGTATGGGAAGGGGTGAAACAAAAGTATGTTGAATATTGAACTAAGTGGCATTTCCAGTTCGTGATGATTTTTATATTCAAAGTTATTAAACTGACAGTTTTCCTTACACACCCTGCTCGTTAACTTTTATTATTCAATCTAGTCCATTCTAATTCCTCTTCCATAGGGTATGATCTTTTCTCCATTTCAATTTGAAGTGAAACATCCACAAAGAGAGTTGCTGTTTAGTCTTCCAGTACAGAGACAACCAGAAAAGGCTCATGTCTTCTGTTGTTATTGATGTGGTATAAAAGGAAACTCTGAATTCTGATTACAGTTGGCTGTATAGCCCAGTTGCAGGTTGCAGGCACAGCTTTCTTGATTATGGAGTTTTTAAAGCCTTTTGTTACGAGACAGCAATAGCTTGCGAACATGGAGTGCAGGCTAGTACAATTTAGAGAAACTTTAAATAAAGCATTGCTGTGTCACCTCCGAGTAGTAGAAGCTACCTGAGTTGGTCCGTTTTTTTGCTGTTAAAAGAAACTTGTTCTCCTATGTTTTGAATAATTTCAGACATCATTCAGACTCTTCCTCCATCTTCCTTAGCTTTAAGCCCCTTTTCTCAGAACAATTATACATTTGAAGCTTGGGGCAGTTGCAATGTTCCTGCATGTTTTTATGGAGTGTTTTAGGAGAAAGTATCATTTCCTGTATGAAGCCAACTAACCCACTGAAACGCCCTTCTCCCCTTCATTTTACGCCTCTTTCGGAAACTGATCAAATTACCTGTGGTAAATGGAGTGGAGTTCAAATTAAGGAACCCTTATTGAACAGAGCTGTAAAATGAAGCTTGGATGTGATTGCCTTCTTTTATTAATATGTATCTGACAATCTTTCAACTTGAGTAGATTTTGCACAATATTCTTAGCTTTTGGCAACTGTTTTTTCCTCTCATTTCACTTTTATCTTACACTTTTTGCAGTGAGAAGAAAAGAAAGCCAGCATGGACCGATAGAATTCTTTGGAGAGTGAAAAATCTCTGCCAGCATGAATCAAAAGGCGACTTCTCTGAAGAAGAACAGACAATTTCTGTTACTTTGAATAACTATATCAGTCACATGAGCTATGGCATCAGCGATCACAAACCTGTTACAGGAACTTTTGGGCTTGAGGTGCTGTCCCAGTTATCTTGATAAGAAAAAGTTGTTTTACTAAGCGTTGCCTTACAGAAGCTGGTTTTCTAAACTTTGTAAGTCATAACCTGTGTTTCATTCTGATTATAGTGAGGGCAGCAAATTGCTTTCGGGTTATTTCCATTCAGTTAGAGTCCCACAGGGGGTGTGGCAGAGAATAACTGGTATGACTGAAAGAATGACAGACCTAACTGACTTTAAATTCTGTTATTTTGTGTAGTTGAAGCCTCTTCTGTCAGATCCTTTGGTCACGCTGAATCCTGAGGGCGAGTGGAGTGCGGAGCATGATGTTCTAATCAGCTATTCTGCAGTGCCTGACTTCCCAAGCAGTGCTTGGGACTGGATTGGACTCTTCAAGGTAATGTTACCACATCATGGCTCTTTCCTCTAATGAAGACGGTGAATGTGACTGGAGGAGGTAGTTGATAGTCTTCTGTCATAGGACGTTGTGATTCTTGCTAGGGCAAAACTCTCTGAAAGACTCGTGTATCCTTGATTTTCTGTATGCTGACAGTTTAGTTGCATAGCATGTGAGCTTTTCTCATCCTTTAAATTCTCTGCTAAGATAATGTGGTGATTTATTTAAAGAAAATGGTGCAGAAGCTGTAAAGAGAATTGTCCTCCCCTAATGCCTGCAGTTCAAAAGATGTATACAGCAAAGAAAGAACAAAAATAAAAGCAAGTCAGTGGAAGGGTGAGAGAACAGAGCACCTACACCCTCTCAGAAACAGAATACTTGTGCATGCCCCAAAATGTTTTGATCCTCAAAGTGACGTGGTTTAACTACTTCAGTGAAGTAGTAAACATCTCTCTCACAACTTTGAGTTTTCTGTGAAGTATGTTTTTCGTTTCCTTCAGGAGGCTGATGGTTTGCATCTTTGCAGGTGACTTTCAGGCATGTGAATGACTATGTTACTTATGCTTGGGTAGAAGATGATGAAATTTCTTCTAACAAAGACAGTAAACAAGTAAGCCAGTTGTATTTATTTCTCGTGTAGTTTCCGATAGAGTAGCATGCAAGGTGTTTGTTCCATATCCCCTCCTCTTACGGGTTCTGTCAGGTTCTGTATCCTCTTTCCCAGTCAAATCTAATTGGGAGTGATATTATTGTCTAAAATGCCTTTTCCTAATTCTTACAAATTTTTAGGTAGTCTAGCATACCTTCTCAGGTGTGATCATATTGCTTAAAGGAATTGATGAAAAAGCAGTTTATTCCTGTAGTGACTTTTCATTGTATTAAAAACTTCTGTTGTTCTATATTTTGGTGCATTTCTGCCGCTGAAATAAGTAACTGGCCATTTTTTCATCTGATTGTCAAAGTTGTTCAATGTATGCTAAATATTTATTGTGTGATTTTTGTTGCAGTTGCCTAATGTTACTAACACAGTTCGTTCCAGGTATCTAATACAGCTACAGATCAGGATTTCTTAGACTTTTCTTCATTTTGGCTATTGAGTGTTCTGGTCCTTCTTTAAAAACTGCTGTCTGTTACATAGCTTTCTAGTACTGATTACCTGAAGTGATTTCAAACAGACAAACAAACAAAACTTACTTGGAATACAAATGATCCGTTTCCAGAGGTATTTATCTGAAGAAATAGAAATTCAAATTGAATTTTGGTGACACAGTGAGTGCAAGGATGGATGAGAATTTCCAGGCAACGATGGGAAGCAGTTATCTGAATCTCAAAATTTCTCTGTTATCATGGTTTCCTACCACTTAGATTTCTAAGCACTATGAACGTTGTTTTAGCAGGAACCACGGGTCTTTAGGGACAGTACGAACCGAGGTGGTGGGTTTGCTCTGCTGTTTCATGCAACGGCGTATTGCCACCAGGAGGCAGTTCATCTCCATCCTTGCTGCTTGTGTGGCCTTGCCCCTTCCCTCCCAACAGCTCTGCCTTTCTCTCGCTTCTTGCTGAACCAAGTCAGCTTGCTAACATGGTGACGGGTATTCCCTTTTCCTCCCTGAGGTAGTTTTCAGATGTTTTCATGAGTTATTTCTGTCCTCATCCTTTTTAGCTTACGTTTAAAAACTTGCTTATAAGTTTTTATAAGCACTGGTTTTTACAGTGTCCTGAATAGCAGAGAGTGCTTTTTTTGTAATCATTTTTCTCTGTGGAAGTTGTCCACTCCCTGTTCTTATTCTCGTTGACAGGTTTACATGAGTGCTGCAGAAATACCTGATACGGGAGGAGAATTTTTGCTTTGTTATTATAGCAATAATTTGCATTCGATAGTTGGTATCAGCCAGCCTTTTCAGGTAACATATTTGGAAGCTTTGATTAATGTTGCTGTGATTTTTACTTCTTTTGCTTTCATATGCTTCTGAACATAGGTGTGTGCAGCCGTGTTAGTCCTGGGGAGGTGGCAGCAGAAGTAATGGCAAAAAGGATATCTGCTGGCTAATGTCCCCTAAAAGAATTTGCTGATATGCTAAAAGGCTCTGTGTAGCTATTATGGCAACACGTTGTTGTAATGAAATAAGACAGGTTTCCTTCTCTGAGCTTTCATTTTTGGAACTGGCTCTGTCAGTTAGGTCCCTGCTTTCTGTAAAGATGAGAGCTCAAATCAACTTAAATGCTGCCAAATTTCTGACAGACTGTAAGGGAATTCTTTGTGTTCCCGGTAGATTGTGTTCTGTGGTCGATTTAGTCACTTGAATTTGGGAAAGGGCAGTTAGAACTCAAGTTATTTGTTTAACAGGCTGCTGCTTCTAATTTCTGAAAGGATGACCTAACCTGCGCAGACTAGATGAAGCAACAAAGCATTGCTTCTTCTACACAAGCATTTTGTGCCAAAATCATGTTGTTTGCGATAATTTTCCATGCTGTCATGGCTGTGCTAACGTGTTGTAGAAGGATTAAAATGGGAGTTTCGCGTTGTTGTTTGATGAAGGGATTTTAGAAGACTGGGAAACTCCATTACCTTGGGGCTACAGTAATGAAAGTTACTGGGCTGGCTGGTGTATCTCAGTGATACTTACCATGTTTTTCTTTATGTGTCGGTGAGAAGCGTTGCAGAGTCCAGTATTTCAGTTGTCTCTGAGCTTAAGATCTGCCACGAACTCTGCAGGATGATTGTCATTTGTATGTGGATACAACACGCCATATGCCTTTCTTTTTACATGACACTTAATGTGTTTGTATTGGTTTAGGGTTATTTTACTAGATTTTTTTTTTTTTCTAATTTCATAATTGCTGCGTAGGTGCATCACACTTAATTTTCTCCATTTCTAGCAAGTATGTAAGACATCTTTATGTAATGGTGTATTGTAGTATAGCAACACCGTGTTTCTGAATGTGTTAATTTGCTAACTGCTGTCTTCCTTCTAGATCCAGCCTAACAGAACGTTAATAGAAAAGGATTTGACACAGGAAGAGAACAGTTGGAGGCAGAAACCTGACAATCTGGAATCGCATGATGAGTTCTGAAGGCAGAGAGGGCATTTAGTGGTCCTGATTCAGGAGACAGATGATTCTTTATGTCTTAGTGATTATAAGCTTTTACTCTTAGAAGATGGAGTAAGACAGTGCAAGTAAGACAGGTAGGATTGTTCAGAAGCTTTGTAAGCTCATAAAAGATAATTTATTGTGGAAACAGATATTTTTATTGTTACAGGGAGAATAACTCTCTTGCACTGGATGAGAACCGTAAAAATAGCACCTAATGAATGCTGTGTGTTTTAAGGTGATAGTCATTTCTAATACAATGATTTAACCTGAGTAAGTGGTGATCTGTAATAGATTTTTAGGCTTGCTCCTTTTTTGTAGAGGGTATGTTGTTACGATACAATATTTACTGTGCTGTAACCACTTATTGATTTCCAAATTTTGAGTTTAAATGACATTATTAAAAAAATTATTTATTAGAGACAGCTAGTTATCTTGGTTTAAGATTTTATTTGACTTTCAAATGTAAGCTAATTACCTTTTGGGGGACACATGTGGCAATAAGCCACGTGAAAACAAAATCTTTGGAGTGTGTAAATTCTCCTTTGGTAGTAGAACCCTTTTTGTCATGCCTTACTGATAACTGTTTGTAAGATTTTTCCCTTGCTAATTTTTCCAGATTGAGATACATTTATCAAAACATGCTTTTCCTGATTTTTTTTTTTTAATTCTTTTATAAAACAACTTAGCAATTTGCCTATTGCGTTTCTCCCTCTGATTTGAAAAAAGTAAAATAAAACCATTTTTATCCTAGTCCCTGGCTCAGAGTTAACCAGGTTCCCACAATTTCTGAAAGAAATTGCTCGGGTTGAGAAATGCTTTAGCATAGGTGAGCAGTCCATGAAGCACTTGTTGGCAAGGAGCTAAGGATCACGGTGCTAACCCCGATTGTTTTCTGCTGTCATACTGAATTTAGAAAGCTAAAGCCATGTTTACGTACTTCCCTGATACCATCCTGCCGCATAATTGGTACACTTAGCACAGAGATGATGGGAATTTAAATGGGGAATTTCAGTGGAACAGATTCTTTCTTAATGGCATAATCTGAGCTACAAAAATTGTAAATCTCTTCAATTTATAGCAATCGGTTTGCAAAATTTGTTTTTCTAGAGGTGCTTAGACCTTAATGCATCCTGTGCACTTGAGGGTGGAGATGGAATAAGGAGCATTATGTACCTTTAAAAACCTGAAAGGTAATTAGCTTCCGAAACGGTTTTATTTCTTGAGGAGGAAATGGAGATTTTTGGAAAGGATTGGAAGAGGCACCAACATTCCACAGACTCTCAGACCGCAGTGCTGGAAAAGAGCACTTGTGAGTCTCCCGTGTTCTAGGTACACAGCTTTGAGCTACTGCTGTGCATGGTAAGTGAAGGTAGTTACTAACCACTGCCAGGTTGGTTAGGGATGGAAAAGAGAAAATTTGGTTCAAGTGGAAGAGCAAAGCAAAGGATGTTGGTGTGTTTATGTTGGAATATTGCTTCAGAGCTGAATGGATTCCTTTTTGCTTTTTTTCTCAAAGCCTTAGTTTTTTCAGGATTCTTTTGAGATAGAAGGTTAACCCCTTGGTATGACGCTTGTTTTGCAATTCCTGGCTTATTCACTGTATAAAGTCTTCTGCGGTCCGGGTGTCTTTGTATACTGTGGAAATTGTGACCAAGATTAACTGGGTGGGGTTTAAGAGCACTAAGCCTCTGTAAATGTTAGTCCTGTCTCAGCTGAATGCTTGGTGTTGGGAACTGCTTCCAGTTCTAAGGAGTGAGGGCAGGTTCAGAGGATACTGTGCTCATTGCACGGATTAAAACTGCCTTGAGGTTTACAGGTTGTACATTCCTATTACACTTTGGAACAATATCAGAAACGGTTTTCACACTTGTACTGTTCTTAGAAGACTTTGTTTTGCACTGACTCTCTCAGATACGTGACTTTTCGTGTCAACTGGGGCATCAGACAAATCCCTGCTGAATTGCAAAGAACTTTTGCAGCTCTAGAGTTGTACTCTGTTTGTGATTTCACTTGTGTAGCTGTTGCTGTACTCCACGCAAGGAGATACTGTGGAGAGCTCAAAGAACAGTGGTGTTTGAATTCCAGACCACAGCTGGCGATTTATTGTGGACCAAGATCCAGTTTCTTCTAATCAGGGTGCGTCTGCTGTTCATGAGCAGCTCGGAGGGGGAGCCAAACAGCCGCTTTACATGGGCGAGACACTCGAGATCCATAATGTTGTGCGAGAGCCGATAACGCTCTCAGTCACTGGACACAGAAGCTGCGGTTTGTAAACCGATCCTTTGAACCCCAGGACTTCACTGCAAATGCCCGCAGCAGCTGTGATTGAATCTCCTTGTGTGTTAGTGGCTGCTGCCCAGAACTGTACACTTCTTTCTTAAGAATTATGCACACAGTGGCACTTTTGTTTACTACTGTTACCTATGGTAGCTTTTCAAACTATTCCATGACCTGTAATGATGCGATTTCTGATGAAATTGATCTTTCTTAAAACACCTTTAATTGGATGTTATAATCACTGGAAATGTTTTTATACTCATGTGTTTTCTTTTCATGTACCACTCAAATAAATCCTGGCAGTGAAGTGTTCTACGTGGCCTCTGTTAATTTGAGAACGAACACGTTGGTTCGGGTGGGGAGGATGAATTCGTGCCTGGTAACCTTTCTCCAAAAAACTTCGGTCATGTTTAATGCACAGATACAACAGTATTTTAGAGTGGAAATATGTCAGTAATAACATATGCAGTAGGGCTTCAGACTGCAAAAGAAGGGCAAGGGCAAACAGTATTTTTCTTTTGGACAAAGCAGATTAATATTTTTTTTTTCCTATTTAAATGAATCCAGTATTAAATGGATGTCTGGTTTGGATTTTCTGTCCCCCCTCCCCATGGAGGAGGTTTTGATATTTTCCTTACAAAAATGCTTAAGCCACTTAAATTGCTTTCTTAACTTTTAAGAACAGGTTCTTCTGATTTAACTTTTTCACAGTGAATTTTTCGCAGCGTGAGTTGAGATGACTTTTTTTTTGTCTTTGTGAAAGATCTGGTACATTATCCTTTTTTATTTTAAATTTTGTGTGTTTTAATATAAATTCACTATCAAATCAATTTCCACCTAAGGGTAACTTTTCATAATTCCCTGCAGTTAGAGAATTTATTTTAAAATAGGAAATATGTCAACCAAGGAATGTTTCCAGTATAGCCTTATTTAACTTCCATATATTTCTGATTCCTAGCTAACCTCAGGATGTGCAGTGTATCATTGCAGATAGATAGTACAGCTCTGGGTAAACAGGAAATATTTCTAAGATGTCTTGCGTGTTTGTTAGACCCTAAAAATACGTTCTGATAAAGACCATTGTTTCTACTACCACTACTTCCTTCTCTGTTCTTGGACACTAAGTGACACTCAGATGAACTTGTCTTAATTAATATACTGCAGTGGAAAGGCCAGTTGAACAAAGCTTGATTTAGGTTTTCCTTGAGAGAGGAAACGATACCTTTTTGAGAACTCTGCATTGCTAACAGGAATATTTCCGATGGCCCCATCTGTCCTTGGATATGGGGATTTGCTATTCGAAGGTGATTGAAGTGAAGCAATGTCTTTTGTGATAACAAGACGCAGAGATCACAGAAAGTTCTTGGTGCTCGTCACTGCGCGAATCCCAGTGTTTCTGAACTTTGTAACTCGTGCATTAAGCAGATAATGTCCTAGTTCCCTTATACCTGGTTTTTTCTTTATACCAATCTTGACAAAGAATGGAGAAAAAGACTTTTGTGTGGAGATGGAAGTGTTTGAGGCCAGTTGTCTGTGTGCACAGCTTCCTGGCTTTCATCTTTAACTCTCTGCAGGCGCAAGCTCAAACATCAGAGTTGTGTAGTACACAGGGGTGCGGAGTGAGCTCTTCTTTGGGGGCTGCTTCGTTCAGGCAGGGCAGTGGCGCTCAGCGCCTGATGGATTGATGCAGAACACGTGTAGTTACTCTGCAAACCGATCTGCTCAGGGACCAGATGGAACTTGTCTGTTCAACTGCTTCAGCTTAAGAAAGATCGTGTATCCGTGTGCATCCCACCTCCCTGTATTGCAGTGGAACTGGCATCTTCGCTTGCAAAGTCTCTGCAATTAAAAGAACATCTCGTACGTGCGATCTGGAGAGCAGCGAGAGAAATCTGTGTGGGAGCATCTGGAGCACAGGTTGGAAGAATCGCTGGAGGAAAACAGTAGAGCCAGGGGCGCTATGAGATGTGGGAATGCAAACTGTGAGACGAAATGCAGGGGTGCGAGAAAAAATCAGAAAATAAGAGTTTACTGGCACCACAAAAAGAAGAAAAATATAATAGCAAACATTTCAACCTGTTACCCGCACTTTGAAACTGAGTTACCAAACACAGACATCAGCCCTAGTAGGGAATGTCCCAGCATTGTTGATCAGATACGAGCTGTTCTCTAACTGTGGTTTTACAGTGTACTGCTTGGTCTTGCCGAGACCACTCTATGTTCCTCTCTTCCCTCTTCTATTTTGTTCTCTCTTTTATAGATATTTTTTTTTCTTCAGCCTCTTTCTGCTTTATCTTTTTCTCTTTTCCCTCTTGTTCTCACTGACTTGTGGCCCATTTTCAGAAGGTTTTTTGCACATAGTTCTGGCATCTGCGTCACAGAAAACATTCCAGTTAAACAGCTCTGGCGCTCTAGACTACTAATCTTTGTAGTTTCTCTGCATAGGAAGGGTAGATAAGATAGGCCAGGTATTGCTCCATATTACTGGGTAGGGCGTTTTGTTTGGGGAAGTGACAACGATGGGTTTTGGTGTTTTTTTTTTAATGTGATAAAAATCTCTTTTTCAGTAGAACCCTATATTGGGAAGTAAGCGGTCAAGGAAACAATCGTTGGACTGGAACAGTCTTGTATATAACAGCTAAGGGAAGTATAAGAATAATTCCAGATATGAAACAGAACAGTGTGCTCCGTATCTGCTCTTG